GATAAACTCATGTTATTTTTGTTGCGAAGCTGATAACTGTATTCAACAGTGCCTACTGTGAGTACTAAAATCTAATTTTACCTTATCCAAAATGGCGAAGAAATACGTAAATCCACAGCTGGCAAAGTTAAACTTTAGACACCACTAACAACCAATCAGCAAACGATCCTGAATGGACCAATCACATTAAAGAGGCATATATGACGAATGGAAATGTATATTCATAGAAAAAAAGCATAAAATAGAAAATAAAAAAGTTACATGAGATATCTTTCTCGAACATGTGAGAGAAACATCTACCAGTTTAGCATGGGACTGTCAATGGAGAAGTTACACCATATCCTGTACATATATTCATCCAAATGACTATAAATGAGATCCATTTATAGCCCTTATCCTATTTTTGAACCTGCCCCAAAATCCTTCAACAGAATTTGTATGTGTCCTCGTAACGGGATCCACGAAATCACCTGAATGGTTGACTCTATGATGAATATATCCCAGAGATGACAGCGAATTGTAGCCTTTCCACTCGTCGGTGTGTATAATTGACCCCCGCTTAAAAAGTCTGGTAATAATAGGTATAAGAGTAGTTGCTTTTCTATCTGCTATCCTTTCGACGAATCCCTTTCAGAGGGAGGTATCATACAAACCTATTACCCTTCTGCTCTCACACCCTGTTTCAACACCCATTAGATGCAGATATACAAAATCTGGGTTAGGGAGAGAAGCGACCTAGCGAAAAAAGTTCCAATAAAATATTAAAATTATCAGCTTACGCTCTCTAGTGTTAGTAGGCTTCAAACATATAGCACAACGATGAACGAACCCATCAGTTGATTTGGTATAGCTTTTTAAAGCCATGATACCACCACACAGACAAATTCGCTCTTTCCGGAGCAACTCAAATCCAGGAAATACTGGAAAACACTAACCTCCTCGAATTGCAACCATAGGTCACGCATTAGAAATGAATCAAGCGCTATACAACACTGAACTGCATTCGTGAACCTCATTGGATAATTCGGCATCGTTCGTGAATTTCATTGGATAATTCGCTGATTGGTAGTTAGTGGTGTTGAAAGTTTAACTTCGCCCCACAGCTGTTGTTGTAAACACTCAGTGGAGGTAAGAGTCAACAAAGCAATGTATTTAAAGCATATGTATACTTCCCATGATCACGGCGACACTCTGCGGAATATATCAAACTCCAAATCATTTCCCTTACAGCGCCAGTAAACCTGGATATCTATGAAATAAAGAAAATATGCCGACAGCTGCATATCAGATCACACTGATTCATTCGATGGCAATATTCTGCTCCTACATGCCTTATTCGACATTTTGTATGGATTGGTTCGCGGTCATTCTGGTTCCAGATCGAAAAGAATAAAAATTCACCGGTTGCCGGATGAATAGTACTTCTCTGCATGTTTAACTGTATTCCAACTGCTGTGGTGAGCCTTTTGCAGATTATGTTACTTAAAATATCGTTTACGGTAAACTAACTATCTTTTTATAAGCCATTTTTACCCTTTGTGAGTAGCCCAACATATCGACGAAATGTAACGCAACACTCAGTTGTTACGCGCATTTTCGGCAAATTCAAACAATAATGGTGCCTAAGATTATATCATATAAATTGTTTCAGTTTATGCAAAGTGTGTTTACTATCATTACTCCATTATCCTCCCTTGTATATATATATATCTTGTGTCAGCCATGTGCATTAAAAGACAGATTCATTTTATTGTTATGTTAAGGAATTGACTTCAAGCTTTATTTATTTTCCCAAGCATCTGTAATCCATCCAACGGATACTTCGGTTTTTTTGTTAATGCGAAGTCAATATCTCTATATCTCTTGATGTGGTCCATTGAATCACTAGTTATCAGATTTTTCTCACAAACTAAAGACAAAATGACAGCAACCGTAAATCATGTAATTTAAACAGTACTTATACATGCCCATACAACTGGTGTATCCTACATAGTTAGGAAAAAATATGTACCTTATTACATTATCTTTACTAACTATGCTTACTAATCGTATGTGTAATTTATCGAATTGATGATACCTGTAAACTGGCGTCCCTCGTGTACAAAAATGAGAATATGCATTATTATTATTATGTGATTAGTGAATGCAAATTGGTGAAAGCTGAAAGTGGTGAAGTCGGTGAAAGCCCATTGATAACTTTGGCACACACTAATTGGAAATCTGTCAATTTAGAAATCACCATTTACCTCCTTCCGATAGATGCTATCTAAGGACCAGTTTCCGTCCTTCTCTCGCCTCTTTTCACGGATTCCGAGCTATCCTGCACCCTTCTACACACATGTCCTGTGAATGCAAACAACCATTTGTGGTTCTGGTGTGAGAGATCAACGAAATTCGTGAATACAACTAAAAGGCACACTTTTCAGTCACACCCTTCAGTCCGTTAATCTCTTCGCATACATTTTCTTATGTGAATTTGAATAACGCAAAACATGACAGCTTGGGAAGAAGAAGGTGATACTATCTCATCGTGGAGGTTTCCCTTTATTAGTGTCAAGCCTAAATATTTAATGCATACGTAAGGGAAGCCTTTTTAATATAACATGATGCAAAATTTTCTCAAAGTTACACTGACACAACGTAAATTATCTGGTCGAAGTTGGGTTTTTCAAAACCTGAATGTATTTTTTTAGTGAATGCGGGTGACGAGAAAACGACGAAATAAAATGATACTTTTTTATTTTGCTCAGGCTGTTGCTTTCTTCCGTCTCACGAAGTCAAACAGTGTACAGTTGGCGTTCAAAGAGCCAGTGTGAGACTGTCACAACGTATCGCGTTAGTGTACTTTTGGGAGGCGAATTCGTCATACTGCTTGAAAGGCTTTGAGGTCGTTTGCCTCTTGGTTCTAACTGAAAGCAGTCTGTTGATTGATGCATGGCCACTAGTTCCGCTAGACTTATGCTTTGATAGATGCTTAGCTTATCTGTAGGCCGAACATGGTTGCCCAGCTACTAATAATGCCGCTGCAAATAATGAGTCCAGAAATGAATGCTTTCCATTGTTCAAAGATGTACCCAGTTAACGACGGTATTTAGGAAAGTGGAGTTACACATTGGCGACTGGGCAGGAACTGAGCTCTCTTCATCTCGACTGTATGGGTTATCTTCCTTTTTACCTTTGTTGGTACAGACAAACATATTGACCATTGGGAGTGAAGTGACCAAAGTTTAACTGAATTTACTAATTTTTTCAACCCCCTACATATTCTCATATTTCCGACTCAAATTTATCCTAACGGGCGTATATATTATGTTTTTTCTTCCATAAGTCATGACAGATTTAGGAGCGGCTTAGTCACCAAGTCAGAGCGACCCTCGTGTGACCAGCACTCATCTTAGTTGGGATAGATGTCTACAAAGGATTAGTGAAGGTGTAAGAACTCCCCAGATTTGGACACTCTAGCAGCTTCAAGCTTCCTGAGGTTGTTCAGAAACTTATATTATGACGTTAGTAGGTGTCTGGTAAGGTTGTGAAAGCTGATGACGATGGGTAGTTACCACCAAGATATTAACAGTGAACATCTGTTAGTATATTTGCTCGTACAATATGCCTGTTTTTTGAAGGTTGCACATGCGGAGGTGAGGGAAGTGAAGAGTGATAAGCAGCCTTGACAACCTTTTTCGATCGAGAATTTAAAGGTTTTTGACGTCAACTCTAAAACGATTTGAAACGGTAGTGATATATCCGGGTAACCATCAGGCACTAAGTAAGAATAAGCATTCGGATGCATTATTTTGTAAAGATTCTTGTAAGCGTCTGAGAAGGAGATTTTGGCCGGTACGTCATCGTCCGAAGACGGAGGAGCCTGATATCGAAAAATGAGGTATTCTCTTTACCTTCCTAAATGTGGTTGTAAAGGTGTGCACCATTTTCACGCAAACTGGATCCCGAGTGGTGTCAAACACAGGGTGATTTTCGGAAATCCAACGAGAAACACGCCTGACTGTACGGCCTATGTATATGTATATATGTATATGTTTATATATAAAACAATCTAACCAATGCGCGGCTAAACAAAGGAAAAACAAAATCTATTCGTGGCGCTATTCTATCTCATCTTGTGGATACAGAACACAAGGTTGATGTCAATGAAGCTTTCAGAGTAATTTACCCCATACCAGAAGATCTTAACTTCGCATTAAGAGTTCGACTACCGAATATTGCTGAAGCTGTTGGGATCCACATTAAGAAGCCTAATTTGTGCATCTAAAAGAAGCTAGTTCAGACATTATCCTTACCGTGTGCATCTAGGTTTGAATGATTCTCAAACTTTTGTAGAGATTTCCTTAATTTTAGTTGATATTCTATTTGCTATTATATCTTTACTTTAAGCATCTTTAATGAACTGTAATTCCACTGTGATCTTACTCAACAAATTGATATTATTCCAAAAACGGTTGTATTGTTATTGACTGCTATTCTAGAATATTGTGTGTTTATAAACATATATATATATATATATATATATATATATATATATATATATATGAAATTGTAAAGTTACAGAAAATGAATTCGTTGAGAAGTGCCTCCGAGATGAACTACTTGTTTTGTTGGTTTCAATAATGCATAGAATGGGAATATACATGATAGATGACAGCTGAGTTCAATTCGCTGAGTTAGTTTCCTCATGAGAACTTATCTAAATGTCAGGGTACACTAGAACCGTTATTTCTTTGGAAACAGTTTTCAGGATGATTAACTCTGTTGAAGGAGATCAAATGTAGAGTATGTGGCGGAAACTGCTCAAAAAATAGTCGCATTTCTAAGCAGTCCCTGACAAATTTAAATTTAAAGCAATGAAGTCTGTTAAGGGAAACAGTTTTATTCATGTATATATTTTTCTTTGGAAATTTATTACATTGAATTGATTGTCCAAATTCATTTTAAACAAAAAGTGATTATTGTTTTTTTTTTTGATTTGATAAGGTAGAAATAACTTATCCCATGTAACAGGTACTCATTTCGTTGGTTGCTAAGTTATAGCATGTTATGCGTAGTTTGCAGTTAGCTATAAGGACATCAGTTGTTGACTTAGCATGTAATAGAAATGAAGTTGTATAAACAGCTATTTCAAATTCTGGAGATGATCCTATGAAAACACTTCCCATTGGCTTTTTATATTTCTTTTGATCGACAAATGTTACACTTAGCAGTTTATTGTTACATGCCTGAAATGGAATAGGTAAAGAAAAGTATGGACATTAAAGTATGTGAAAACTGAGATTTCCTGTTTGAGGACAGTTTGGAAATATGAATTTCAGGTTAATCTGCTTGACACAGACACTGTTAGAAGGAGCTTCATAGAATTAACCGCCTATTGGAAGTACCTTGCAAAAGTGATGTCCAATTGCTCTGGATTGCCAGAAAAACTTGATATTCACTTGTAAGTGCCGATGTCAAACCCTAGATTGTCCTTAATATCCTCGGTTAACCCTGATCACTGCTCTACCTAACTTGTCAGTAACGATAAACGAACTCAAAGTAAAAAGGCTTGTGACTTGGTAGTGTGCCCCGTTGAGAATTATATTTTTACAACAGACTAAATGTCGAATTTTGAATTTCGGTGAACAAAATATCTGCTTTACATATAAGATCTCAGTTAAGTACTTCAAAATCTCGTCAGTCTGTCAGCCCAAAAAGTAAGTTGTATGAATGTTGATGCGGTAACCATGTGGCATTTGTATCTGCTTCAGCTATCATGCATCCTTATCGCCTCTGTCTGCACTGAAGTCTGGACACAGATAGATCATTTTGTGGTTATATGCAGATATCCATTTAGGCAGATGCTACGCAGACTAATCATTTGCAAAGACACCTAGAACATTCAATACAGCACTTTTTAAAACAGTCTAAGCGGCTTGCAAAGCCAGTATTCAGCAGTTTTAACCGTATCAATTCACCGTCCGTTAACACCGAATCACCTAAAGAAACGAAGGTCCTAGAAAATCTCTAGATACTTAAGCTCCTTCAGACATTCTGCCTAAACAGCTTTTCCTTAGCTTCTTTTAAAAATACTGGTGGGTTTCGACTCTTGGAAGTATGGAATATTGACTGTACACTGTGTGTTCGGTGACGACAGTCACATAGGAAAAATTCCTGTGAACTTTGGTGAATGTCATTTATGCATTTGGAAGGATTCTGTTCAGGTTTTCACTTTCAATGAATTATTACGAGGATTTTATGTCTGTCAACCTTTGTCTGAAAAGATCAATAGGAGTGAGCACAAGGATAGGAAAACTTGTGAAGATAAATAATTCAAGTCAAAGTGACCAAGAAAGAGAATGCCGAAAATCACAATTCAAACTGAAGGTGACGCTGAAGATGTTATTTGGAAAGAGAACAAAATCCTTACCCAGATAGTTTAGAGAAAAAACAAAATCACCAAGAAAAGATTCCGTACTGCTTACTAACAATAAAATGACGAAAAGTATAAATTCAATGCTTCATGTTTTAACAAGTTGTTTAGTCGATTGAGGTAATTCAACTATTTGGGTACTTGCCTATGTTTACACTCTCCTATCGGTATACATAATCCCATTTACCAGCTGCATTTTGGTGTATGAGTTCCAAGAACGGATGACGGAAAATTATCTTGTTTAAAAGTCGAGAGTTACTTGTTTGTTGAGGGGGCTTGTGGTAGAATTTATGACACCAGTTTCGTCCTGCTTAAGCCTTTTCATGTGAATGTACATGCGTTTTCATGGAGTGATGTAGCCGCTACTGAGACTCAAACCCTGTTTTCATAGCTTCAGAAACCTAAGGGTTATCCACAGCTAGTCCCCATCAAACAAGAATCTTTGAGTTCTTACTTCTGGTTATATCAGAGCATCCGTACAAGAAGCTCATACGTCAAAATGATGCTGATCAAAGTGGTGAGGAATATCAACGTGAAGTCAAAATATGAATAGATAACTTCAAATTCTATCTGTCGCCACAAAATATGCCAGTGGAAGCCCATTCACACAGAGAATAACGCCACGAAATTTGTAGTGATAGGTGCTGAGTACTAGTCTCAGATAAAACTCCATCACTCACTGGGAATGCAAGTACATCCAACTGGCATGACTCACATAGGACGAGACACATGTGTCCTGGTCTCTGCTACTGACGACCAGCAAAAATGTAACAATTAAGTAATATTTTTGAAATGAGATACAAAATACCTTACCCGTTTTTTCCATCCAGAATAATTTATCTGATTTTTCTTCTCCTTTTGATAAAACTGGATCCAGTTATGCAATCCAAGAACAGTAGTCCCTTTGTGCTCACCGACGAATACATGCTCAAAAGCAGATGAATCTCCAGGGCTATGGTTTTAATCAACATTTCCCAGAGAGTTTTGAAATTTCAAAATTAGGAATAATAAGAAAATTCGAGAAAGCAGGGAAAAATATATATATTTTATTGATATAAGAATCAAACTTGTGCACTGTGGTAAAGTGTAATTCCCTTATGGGTAGATTTTGTTTTGATAAAGTCTCACAGTATTATACAGTATTGTTTACTGATAACGTTTCAAGCACAATTTATTGCTCATAATCATATCAAGGTAATCACACGGCTTCCTAACTTCATTTATATAGTTCCATTGTTTTTCCCTTGATTTTCACCTGATTTGATTGGTAGTAGTATTTTCCATATTTCAGGTATTATTATTATTATTGTATCCTTTAGTTCCTAGAGGAACATAGGGCTTCAGCTGCGCACCTCCATTGACTTCGGTTTTCTGACAACTTTTTCACCCTGCTCCACGTCTGTCCACATGCTTTCATTTCCTCCTCGCATGACCTCCTCCAAGTCACCCTTGGACGACCAACTCGCCGCCTCCCTTTCGGGTTCCACTCGAGCGATGGCTTGTCTAGTGATGTCACTTGATGGTTTCCTCAGCGTATGGCCAATCCATCTCCATTTCTTCCTGCCTATTTGTTTCACAATCGGTTCCTGATTGGTTCGCTCCCAGAGATCCCTGTTGCTGATCTTTTCTGGCCGGCCATCTGACCTTGAGTAGTACTGAGCGGAGACAACTGTTAATGGAGGTCTGAAGTTTGTTTGAGATGCTCTTTATGACTCGCCAAGTCTCTGGTCCGTATAGTAGCACTGACTTTACATTGGAGTTGAAAATCCGGATCTTATTTTTGATGCTGAGTGCTGTTGACCTCCACACAGATTTGAGAGTAATGAAAGCTTGTCTTGCTTTTCCGATTCTGGCTTTGATGTCCTCGTCAGTTCCGCCTGTAGTTGAGACGATGCTTCCCAGGTAGGTGAAGGAGGTTGTTTCTTTCAGGTTCTTCCCATTTATGCTTATTGTGGTCTGTTGGTGTTGTTGATGTTGGCTAGGAATCTTCATCATCTCTGTTTTATCTATGTTCACGTGAAGTCCTATCTTTGATGCTTCTTCTGCCAACTTGTTACTTTTCACTTGCATATCTTCCAGTTTATGGGAAATCAGACATATATCATCGGCGAAATCCAGATCCTCCAAGTCTTTTGTGTCAGTCCATTTTATGCCTGTTCCCTCGTTGGTTGCCGTTGTCTGTCGCATTATCCAATCAATTGCAATCAGGAAGATCATTGGTGATAGTAGACAGCCTTGCCTCACTCCCGTCCTCACTTCGAAGGCTTCCGTAAGTTTCCCGTTGTGGATTACTTGGCATGCAGCATTGTCGTATAACTGTTGGATGAGGTGTATAATTTTCGATGGGACCCCGTAGTAGCGAAGTAGTTGCCAAATGACCTCTCGGTCGACGCTGTCGAAGGCCTTTTCAAAGTCGATGAAGTTGAGATAGAGAGGTGACTGCCATTCCAAGCTTTGTTCAATGATGATCCGTAGAGTGGCGATTTGATCAATACATGATTTGTTTCTCCTGAATCCGGCCTGTTCCGGACGAAGTTTTTCATCTAGGGCTTGTTTGATTCTCTCCAGGATGATGCGACTTAGTATCTTGCTTGGAATGGACAAAAGCATAATTCCACGCCAGTTTTTACATTTGACTTAAGTCTCCTTTCTTTGGAAGTTTGAATAAGTATCCGTATGAGTGATGAATCATTCCTATTGCATGTGTCGGGTGTAGACTCGATGAACAAGGATTCAGTAATCAACCTCTCTCTCCACCTACCTAGATTACTTTTTGGAATTTTAACCCTCTCTCACCCTATTGTGTGGTTGTTTCTTAATGCATGCATGCTTTTTTCTAAATTACTTATCTTCTCCGGGTTAACCATTCTTACCTTGGCTAAATTCTTATGTCCTGACAATCTGACTACCCCTGACCTACTAGTTTGACCTATGTAGTTGACTTCATTCACAGTCATTCCAGGGTATTTTGTAAATTATATTATTTTGTCTAATTGGGTCAACCGACAGGGTCTTTTAACCTACAGAGCTTGTCCCTGAGTGACTCAGGGCTTAAATTCTAAAAACTAATCTAGGTAGGTGGAGAGAGAGATTGATTACCGAATCCTTGTTCATTGAGTCTACACCCAACACATGCAATAGGAATGAGTCATCACTCATACCTGAAATATGGAAAATACTACTACCAATCAAATCAAGTGAAAACCAAGTGAAAAACAATGGAACTATATAAATGAAGTTAGGAAGCCGTGTGATTACCTTGATATGATTATGAGTGATAATAAATCGTGCTCGAAACGTCATCAGTAAACAATACTGTATAACACTGTGAGACTTTATCAAAACAAAATCTACCCATAAGGGAAAAGTATATATATTCAATTTTTGTTTTATGTATCAAAAATACTAGAAACAGCAGGAACAGAATATACTGGAGTCCAGAATAGGACAGATTTGTATGTAGCTCAGATGTTGTGATTGTGTACTCTAAGCTGATGACTTTTATTGCGTAGGTTTTATTTTCCGTCTACACAAAGTCTTCTCCTTATTATTATAATCACTGATTTTGCTTAGAAGGATCAACAAAGCTTCTCAATTAAAACCAACCAGGTCAGAGAACACAACCACATTAAAAATAGTTAATGCTTATTTGTGTAAGACAATCAAGTGACTAGAGACCAACACAGTTGTTAACATAAAGATATTTGTTCCCAGTCACGACCTGATGGATGTCAATGGTCAGGATTTCTCACTAGAATTCCTGGCAACTTCCTCCTGTAACCAGACGCTGGCAAGCAACAGATTAATTTTCGACAGTTATTCTGTTGAAACTCGATTTGTCTGAAGTTCGATCATGGATCAATATCATTTAGACAGTCACTGAATACCAGGGAGTGCTTTACAGCTGTTTTCTCCTAGTCTGGGAGTCAGTATAAAACCAGTAGGTTGGAGGTAGTCAAGTGATTGGAACATAAGAATTTAACAAAGTGTATAATGATTGACTCCACAAAACTCAGCAACTGAAACTCATGCATTAATACACAATAAAACAATAAAGCCGAACAGAGCTATACTTCTAAAAGCTAATACAAGTAGGTGGAAAGGGAGAGAGAGATTGATTACTGCATCTTAACAAGTGTTACTTTGCAGGGATTCGGTGGATTTCAAGATTGATCACGAACCGACTATATCTAAAAAACCGCTGAAATTTATGGAGTACTAGAAAGCTGTTTGGTCCTTGTTTTAGACGCTTCAGTGTAACGCAACCATGAACACACCAGAGATAGAACCCAAGACCTTCAGGTTACAAGGTGAGCTCACTGTTCGTCTAATCTATGCCAAACACATGTAATAGGAATGACTCATTACCAATAAAACAAAAGGATAAGAAATAATGAAAATACATAAACAGAATTTGGATTTTATGTGAATGTCTTGATGGGATTATGAGTATTAAATTGTGCTCAAAATGTCATCAGTAAATAACACTGTATTAGTGTGTGATTTTATCAAATGAATTTACTTCATCTCGGAATTAAGCGAAATATGTAATCTTTAAAAAGTCGTTAGCATCAGTTTTCGAAAAAAACTCAAGCTGATTAAAACTCACATTATCCAGTTACATATATATACATAAGCATAAAATCAGATGTTATTTTGATTGGACACTAGAAACCAGTGTGACGTGTCTAGTCCTTCCCTTGGTGCAGACTGAATTATATCAGTCAGGTTGGCAATGTATCCACCAATCTAGGTAGCTCGCCATCACGGTGCACATTGATTTGATGATATTAGATAGTTGAAGGCGATCGGCCACAGGAAGCCTTGCTTGACCTAGATTTCGTGCTAGTTACCACTCAGTAGTCAGAAAGGCGTACCTGCAACCTTGGAGGAACTCATGTCCTTTCTGAGATTCGAAACCGCGTCACTCAGTGCTGGAGTCAGAGACCTTATCACTGAGCTATTCGGGCTCACCACTGACTGACCTCCTGTAGGACTGTAGTGGGTATTTTGATTGGACACTAGTAACTAGTGACTACAGCACCGAGTGACGCCGGTTCGATTCTCAGAAGGTAAATGAGTCCCTTCAAGGTTGCAGATATGCGTTTCTGACTAGTGACTGGTAACTAGCACGAAACCTAGGTCAAGCAAGGCTTCCTGGCACCGATGGCCTCCAGCTATCTAAAACTCAGATGTTAACATCTCATTAAATTGGGTAACACATACACACAGTTAAAAGTGCCATAATTTCACCAGCCTACATCATATTATCTCTGGCATACAATAAAGCTAATTCTTTGTCTAACTCTTACAGCCTTTACACACCGAGTTGGTGAAACACAGTGCAAAGAATACTTTGGGATTTTTTAAATGAATAAAAGATTTAAATGTGGACAATAAATTCATGAAATCATTTGACATTTCTTCCTTATTCACCAATGTACCACTTATGGAAACAGTGAACTTTGTGTGCGAAGAACTCACAAGACGGAACATCAATGTCGGCATTCCTATATCTTTTATAAAAGAGCTTCTTTTGAAATGCACAATGAATGTTCACCTTTTATTTAGTTAGGAACTATATAGACAAGTCGATAGTGTGGCAATGGTGTCACCACTAGGATCCATTCTATCCGACATTTTCCTTGCGAAACTAGAAAATGGGCCTTTGAAGGATGTTATTACTGAATTTGAATTCTATTGTTGGTACATAATGATGAATTTTCGATTATGAAAAATGAGGATGAAGCAAAGAGCATCCTGAATTAATTTGACGAGGTTCATTCTGCAATAAATTTAACTATTGAGAAAGAAAACGACTCTAGTATTTCATTTCTAGACGTCCTTATGACCAGAAAAGAGGATGGCGGAATAAGAAGAATTGTATATAGAAAACCGACATCAGCGCGTCAGTATACTCATTTTTATACCTTTGTGCCCTTGAAATACAAGCGTAATCTGATAGGGTGTTTGGTTCACAGAGCAAGAGCAATCTGCTCGGATGAATGTCTTGATGAGGAACTTAACAATAATAAACGGTTAATGAGTGAAAACTGTTACCAAGAAAAGTTTATTGATAAGAATATGAATCTAAAATCAAGGCAGCCCAAGGTAAAAACAGTTCCTAAAAAAACCTTATTCTTACAAATTCAGTTCCTCAGCGATAACATCAGCGGCATACTAACATAACGCCTTGGGAATGCGGTATGAAGAGCATTCAGTGCTGCTGGATTACGCTGTGCTCTATTTCGCGTTCGGGAGTAGTAGGTAAACTGCTTAATTTCGCATCTTCCATGTGTATCTACCAATTTAACTGCTCCTGTGTATCCAGTCACATAGACCGCACAATTAGGCGTGTTTCTCATCGGATTTCCGAACAATACCCTGCTTCGTGGTTAAGTAAAGGACAAACAGAATCTATTCGTGGCGCTATTCTATCTCATCTTGTGGATACGGAACACAAGACTGATATCAATGAGGCTTTCAGAGTAATTTACCTCATACCAGAAGATCTGAACTTCGCATTAATAGTTTGACTACCGAATATTGCTGAAGCTGTTGGGATCCACATTAGAAAGCCTAATTTGTGCATCCAAAAGCAGTTAGTCCAGACATTATCCTTACCGTGTGCATCTAGGTTTGAATGATTCTCAAACTTTTGTAGAGATTTCCTTAATTTTAGTTGATATTCTATTTGCTATTATATCTTTACTTTAAGCATCTTTATTGAACTGTAATTGCATTAATCTTACTTTACAAATCGATATTATTTAAAAAAACGCTAATATTGCTATTGACGACTACTCTAGAATGTTCTGTGTATATAAACGTCTACCTATAATTGCAGAGCCAGAAGAGGAATTTGTCGGAAAGGATATTCTTTTCTCAATTATTTTGTGTTTTAAAGCTGTCTGAATGAATGTATACACTATAATTCTTTGTTCACAAACAGAACTCACAGATATTTATCCATTGAAGACAACACTTACTCTATCCAAAAGTAGAGCTTACCTTCTTCGGTTGTATCTTTTAAACCAAAGATCTTTCAATATTTTCCCAAAATCATCTAATGATCCTGATATTTTTCCTTTTTTTGATAGAAATTCATAAGTCGTTTTCATGATATTTGTTTTAAGTAGTTCTTTAATAAAATTATCCTCTTCTTTTGATTGCTGCGGTGTAACAGTTTCACTGACACCAACATTAGGATTGTAATTATCCAACAAGGAAATAAAGCCTAGATGGGTATTGTGGTAAAAAGAGGAAAAAAATTTCAAATAAAAGAAAATGAGAATTGAGAATTTCATGATAGATGCTGACAATACATTTATTTAGCACTGTCATTCCTTTCATGTTATTCAAAAGATTTCTTTTCACACATTTCAAATAATCACAGATTCGGTAAACAAAAATATACTCCTCTTCAAATAGTTCTTCATCAATGGCTCTATACCATATATATATATATATTTAGCATGTGACGTTTCAAAGAGCAACGGTTTGCGTCGACATGATTGTGACGAAGACACTTTCAGTAATGCTTGAGATATTCTTTCTTATCAATACGGCTCTTTAGAAAATTGCTTCTTGTGTTCGCTATGACAAGCTTGACAGAAAACTTAAGAAACGTATCAGGTTCTTTCACTGCCACAGGGTTCTTGCTCTGATTTAAATCGCCAAAAATACCCTTGAGTAATGAAAAAAATAAAAGACAATTCAGAGGAGAAAACATTTCTTTATCGACGAAATCATCTTTAGATGCTGTACAGTGGTATTTATATTTTTCAGTGGTTGGTTTTTAAGGATTAGATTTGTTGTTGCGAGTTGATCACAGGTCGATATCAATGAGGTCCAGCCAGTCAAATGTGAGGACAGATGTCCCACCGATGACACTGGTTTGTGGTCGCACTAAATGAATCACGAATTGGTTAGAAGTTAAGATTCATACGTCAGTGAATCGTGTCCCAGTGGCTGAATGTTACATGAACTTGCCTATTAACTGGAAGGTTCCGGGTTCGAACCCATTGGGTGCGTACTGCCGATGATTTCCAAACAAGTATTTATATTTACCAAAAATTTATAGTAGTCTATTACTGAGTAATAGAGCGGGTGACATAATTGATGTAATTATTCAGAAGTGGCTTTATAAATAAAAATAAAAATTGTAAATTACGTAGTACTCAACGATACAAAGGAAGAAGGCGTTAGAAACATGATTAGATTAAAATTGTTATTGAATGGGAAGAAAAGTATTTGAGTGTCAGTTTTAACGAGTGTGAAGAGGGTGAAGAAATGCACAAAAGGGACATATGAGAGTGATTTTTTTCCTTCACGTTCCCAGTGAGATATAGGGCATCAAGCTAGTGGCTTGAAGTTTCTGTAGCAGTGTTTAATTTTACAGGATAGTGTTGCTAGCCTCATGCCGAACCCTTCCTCTATACCAGCATTATTTCTAGCTTAGTGAGGCCAGGGATCGAATCCCAGACCACGTGCATGGTCGGCGAGCGTCCAAACCGCTGTGCCATGGACACACTATGAGAGTGATAACAGTGGGTTGATTATTAAAGTAAAAGCAAACTAAAAGTAAAATTCGAAATTCAAAATAATAAAAATGCAACTTGGTAAATATAAATACCACTGTACAGCCTCTGAATACGACTTCGTCGATAAAGAAAATTTTCTTCTATGAACCGTCTTTTGTTTTCGTTATGAGGTAATGGAATTTCAGAAATATATATATATATATATATATATATATATATATATATATAGTATAATGGCGAAAACGGACTCTGTGGTCTGAACTCAGGAAACTCATCTTTACATTCTATTGTTTAGCTAACAGAAACTTCCTTGAGAGACAGATGCACAGTTAAAAGTGCTTCAAAGACATCGAAAAGACGTTTATTCATCCTAAGATCTGTGTGGTTCCATTCAACAACAACAACAACAGTAACATAAAAAATCAAGATCACCTCAACAATGCCTCTAGGTAGCTATTCAAGATGAATATTTTTTTAAGCAGAAAACAGGTAGTGTAGAACAAAATTAGTTATTCAAGTTTCATCTGTAAAAAGTACCTTAAAATCAAGTAAAATATTTCCAACAATGTGCGGTCAAAACTCTGTCCACAAGAATCATGACGATGAGTCACTCAAACAAATTCACATCGGTAAAAAGCAAATTATCAACAAATTGCACAACCATAAACAGAAGTATAAATCTTAGAGAATAAAGATTAATAATACGAATCAAGTGAACATAAGACAAGCAAATACCAAAATAATGAAACACGATCCAGTTGAAAAACATAATAATTTTCAAGAGTAGATGTGTAAGGATTAGATTTGTTTTTACGAGTTCGACCACGGAATGGTATCAATTAAAGAACCATTGGAAAACCTGCAGGGAGTACTGGACAACTAGATGTTAAGTCCTGGTATTGAAATCTTCGGCTGTATGCATCCACACTGTGTGGTTTTAACCCAGGACATTTTGGCTACAAGGCGAGCGAGCTCGTAAGCCATTAAGCCACTGGGACCCGATCCAATGGCCAGGCCATGAATTCTAACTTCTGCCAACTCATGACACAGCGCGACCATTTCGCAACGTCTTCTTCGATGAGCTACTGTCTCACCTTCAACCTGCTACACCCTACTTATCATGGCTTCCCACTAGAATGCGAGGTTAACTGCTTGAAAAGGGTCAGTCGCTAGTGAGCACCAGATTAATTTCCAAGTATTGGATTTTATAGGGATTTTGTCTGATTTTTTGAAGGACGAAACAGCTGTCAAGTAGTCCTAGGTTTTCCAATGGTTCTCTAACTGACGTCAGCTCATACTGAATGTAATTCACTTTAATATCCAGCGTGTAAGGAAGATGAGTATATTAATAAACGAAATACTAGTAATGGTATGTCCAAGTAACAAGAATTTATCAGTAATACATTGGGTAATATGTCATTCGAAATAATCGTCAATATCAGAGCGATGGTTCAGGTGACTATGTGGAGAAATGAATAGCATGGTGAAAGAAACACAAAACGTGCGTCAAGAAGACGGAAAAGAAGCAGGAATTGAAGCACTTTTGCAAAATGAAGTTTTGATTTAACGTTTCGGTATTTCGCCATTGTTATATATGTATTATTTTCAATGTAGATCTCGTTATTGAGGTGGTTGTGTTCCATGAGCTGGATAGTTGATTTGCGATATTTTTCTTTGTGCTTTTCTTGGGGCCTTACTATAAAGGGTATCTCAGAAATCACTACAAGACTCTTCAAACCTTTAGCAATTGACGTCGTACACAAACCAACAAAGTCGCTTCACTCAATTCTATGTCAACCAAAAGACTCAACAGCGACAGAAGATAAAACCAACATCATCTACAAAATAAATTGTAACAAATGCGAAAAACACTACATTGGCCAAAGTGGACGTCCCCTTCGTCTTCGTATCCACGAACATAGGTTAACCGTCAAAAGACATGATATCCACTCCCTCATATCACTACATACAGACAACCACGGACATCAATTCGACTGGGACAACGTTCAAATATTAGACAGAGGAAACAACAAGAATGCTAGAGAATTTTTAGAAGCTTGACATTCCAGTGAATCATTAATCAATAGACACATCGAGATAGACAAAATTTATCAACCAATAAGAAAGAAACTTCACACACAAAGAGTCAAAGTTCAAGTCAAAGAAACTATCAGTTGCAATCCAAGTAACCTAGAAGGTGTGAAAACACACAAAAACAACCAATCACGAGGTGCAAGGTCACCAGAAGAGATGATTAATAAACTCGTGGAGAAATCTAAAAGCTCACTTCAAATTGAAGTATGCGCTGAATATGTCGCCTAGAAGGGCGATGAAAGCTTCGCAAATCAACTATCCAGCTCAGAGAGCACAACCACATCAAAATCATCCACCTGAGCTACAAATCTTCTCTATCATATCTAGATCTCGTTATGAATGTAGTTGGTATTCATGGGACAATAGATCATTTTTTTTTCTTTTTTTTTCATATCGCAGTGGCTTAATGGTCTACGAGCTCGCTAGTCTTGCGACCACAAGGTCCTGGATCTGAAGAGTCCCAAACTTGGACGAAGCAACTGTTTATTACTCCTTGCAGGTTTTCCAATGGCTCTCTAACCGATGTCAGCTCATAATTAAATTCTGTAACTCGTTAGAGAATCACTGAATACCAAACAGCACTGGAAAGTCTTCCCACACACAACTTCACTAGGAATCGAATGTGGTATCTTCGGTTAATAAAGCTATTCTCAGTATTTCATCATGAGCTTTGTAACCGGAAGGTCCTGGTTCGAATCCCGGTGGGTGCGTACTGATGAAGAGTCCCGAACTAGGGCGAAACAGCTGTCCAGTACTCCTAGGTTTTCCAATGGTTCTCTAACTAATGTCAGCTCATGATGAAATCCTGAAACCAATCAAATCCCTACAAACCAACATTTGAATACCAATGAGATGCTCACTGACGACTGGCCCTATTCAGGTAGGTAGTTACCTGGGTTCCAGTGGGAATTCGTGACCAGTAGGGTGCAGCTGGTCGGGTGTGAGGACAAATACTTGCCGAAGACATCGGCTAGCGGTCGCGCTATATCGTGAATTGGCAGAAGTTAGAATTCAAGGACCATTGGATCGGGTCCCAGTGGCTTAATTGTATACGAGCTCGCCTTGTTACCGGAAGGTCCTGGGTTCGAATCCCAGTGGGTGCGTACTGATGAAGAGTCCCAAACTAGGACGAAACAGCTGTCCAGTACTCCCAGATTTTCCAATGGTTCTCTAACTAATGATGAAATCCTGAAATTCTACTATTTTACATTAAGAGTATAAGGCATTATACAGCCTGAGTTGAGTAATTATAAAATCTAGCTTTGAAATTTGTGTGAAACTAGTATACTGTTAAGTCAGCGAAAAGACTGACGCCAAAGGCTATTGTCCTATTTTGTGGAGATCACTTCAATCTGTTGACTAACGATGCTGACGATGATGGTTTCCATAGCTTGTGCATTTTGATCGGAGAATAAGGAAAGTGTTGTATAGTACCACGAAGTTAACCAGATTATTAAATTACTAAGGTTTTCACAGAACGACTAAGTTCTTAGAGGCGAAAATGTCCCCCAGTCATCTGATCATCCATACACTTCTTCAGATAAAGTGCCTTACGGAAATCTTGTTAGTTCTGGTCATTTGTCAGATACTTCTTGCGATATATCCGATTATGCTGTACACTTTGATTTCTTCAATTCTTGTAAGTGATGTTTTAAAAATACAATAATGTCAACTGTGGTTCCTTAGGGAAAATGTGAAATCAAATGTCTTAGTCAATAGGACTTAATCGTTAAGCACCAGACTGAGAATCACGAATGACATAATACATTTCTAAAGTTGATTTTCGTAAACTGATGAATTTGATTCATTTCTCAAATTTATTTTAGTTGTAGTCCAAAAAATTGTGAAAATTAAAAATCAGTGATTCTCTATTTTACATCATTTCATTATGCCAGTGTAGATTTTGTCACCTACCAACATCAGCTAGAGAGACACTGAAAACCGGGGAACACTAAACAACCGTTTCGTCCTAGTTTTGGACTCTTCAGTAGTGTGAAACCCACAATTTTTATTAGAGATTGAACTCACGAACATAGGGTTACGAGGTCAAGCTCGTTCAACATTCAGTCACATTGTCGCAGTTCAGTAAGCCGGAAATTCTAGTTTCCGTCAATTTGTGATATAGTGCTACCGCCAACCATCACCATCAATGACCATCCAATTCAACTTGAAATGGTGGCACTAGTTCCTCGTTAGCGCAGTATCAGTAACTGACAAGGTTAAGAATTAAAGATCATCGAATCCAAGCTGAAGTGGCTGAATGGTCAATGAAGGTGTTGGGTTCGATCCTTGGTGGGTCGTGGATGTGTGTCCTGAAGAGTCCTAACCCATAATGAGGTGTCTCATCTACGACTCTTGGTTTTCAGTGATTCTTCGACTGATAACAGTTTATGAAGCTTAAAATTATCCAAGCTCCTAGAGAAACCATAAATTAATTAAGATAATCTTCAAGGAATGAATATTTAAAAAAAAACATTTATAGACATACTTGAAAATGTTGGTCTCTTTAAGAGCGCAGCCTCATCAACGTATTCAAAGAGTGGTTTAGGTGCATTATCAAGTGAATCTTGACCGCTAGGGATTTGACCTATTTAAAGAAAAAAAAAGAAATTCAAAAGACACATTCAACGCTACCTGAATTTCTTAAAGTGTAGAAATAGTCTCTTGTGAGAATGTAAAGGCTACCAATTGAATTTATAATGTACTACTTAAATCAAAGAATAATAAATACTGAGTAGCATAAAATGAATTGATTTTTTAAACATGTAGTTAACTCCCTTGGTTAAAATGTTAAGTACTGCGTATTAGTAGATGTTCAGCAATTAAGTCATTTTTAAAAATAATGAAAATCCAGAAAAGAATTACTCTTTTCAACGAAATCATTTCCAAGCATCAAGGGGAATATTTCGAAAATCTGTTACCAAAAATATCTTTGAATTTTGCACAGCGCTGAGGTTCTGAAGAAATCATATAATCCAGATAACAATAATTAGGTAGTGAGAAAGTGCTATGTATCCACATATATATATTTATGTGTGTGTGTATATTGGTCTCTCTTTCTGTTTGCTCTCTTAGTCTGTGACCATTTCACTTGTATGAACTTGTCTCCTTTAACAATGTATACTCTCCTTATATTATATTATATATAATATGAGTGTTTGTTGACAGTCCGTGGCTTGGTAACATATATCCATATATGGTGGTTGTTGACATGTCTGCTATATTTCGCTATGTATATATGGATCGATACTTCATTATAATTAGCCATTCATGTTAAGACTGTCTAATGATTTGTTCACACGCTTTGTCTGGATATTCATATATATTTCGCATTCACAATTTGTGTGACTTACTTATTTTGGTGTGATACCACTTTTGCATTCTCCTTGTGTTTGGAAAATAGAAGTATCATCGCAAACCTAGTGGTCTTCTGATTTCCGTCTTCCATGCGTCAGGACTATTAAATTCTCGACCAGTACATAGCAATAATTTGGCGACGAGTACATAACAGAAAGGTAGGACTAAAAACTGAAAGATTTGCGGGTAAAAAGCTACAAAATGGCTGAAGCAGCAGTGCAGCAAAGACAGGACTCAACGTGAACATAGAGAAGACAAGGTGATGAAGATGACCAACCAACCAACCAACAACAACAACGACAACAACAGCACCAATTGACATCAACGAGAGAAATCTAACACAGGTCAATTCCTTCATTAATCCCCTAAGAAACACGGTTTCAACCCTTAAGCACATGTTACAGATGAAGATGTCAAAGCTGGCGAGAATCGGAAAGGTATGATACGCCTTCATCAACTTGAAACCAGTTTGAAACTTTTCTGCACTCAGCCAACATAAAGAACAAGATGCAGATTTTCAACACAGTTGTGAAGTCGGTCAATTCTCCTATACGGGTTGAGAAACTTGGCCAGCGTGTCATGAAAAGGATTTCCAACAGGTGGCTGCAGACTTTTATCAACAGCTCCCTTCCCTGGCCCCATAATGAAGATCTAATGACAAGACGGCCAGAAAGAACTAGTAACAACAAACCCTGTCTGGGAACGAACCAACCAAGAGCCGATCGCTCAATAAATATCTAGGAGAAAATGGGGATGGATGGATGGATGATCGAGCATACATTGAAGAGACCATCGAATGACATCACGTGGCAGGCCAACGCTTGAGTGGAATCCAAATTGGAAGCGGCGAGCAGGTCTTTGGTGTGAGATTGACATGGAAGAGATCGTGAGGCAAGGAGGAATTGAGAGATTATGGGGAACCGTGGACCCAACTGAAGAGGATGACAGAAAATAGAATAAAGTGGAAATGTATTGTTGAAGTTCGATTATCCATTCGGAACCCAGGGGAATAATACCAAAAAAACCGGACTAAACAAGTAAGCTGATTGACATAACACAATCTTGCAGTAGGTCGATTTCGGAACACATGACTGATTCTGAAAGGGATGTGAGGTGATTAACTATTTTCGGATTCTGAAGAAAGCTAAAACGAACATAATTGTAAGATAAAAAAGACGTCAGCAGGATTGCAAATAAGCCTTGCTGACCGGTGAATGTCAACTAGCACGAAACCTAGGTCCAAGGCTTCCTGTGGCCGATTGCCTCCAACTATTTAATGTCATCAGACCAATGTGTACCATGATGGCGGTGCACACCACCTAGAATGGGGGCCACATTGTAAATCCGACTGATAGAATTCAGTCTGCATCAAAGAAAGGACTAGACATGTCACACTAGATAACTACTAGTGTCCAATCAAAGTAAGTAGGTTTTCCTAACTACACTCCATTTTTAATTATAATATTGGGGTAAGTATCATTACATTTTGATCTCAAGGCATAAACGGCATCATTTTTATCTTTTGGTCTTGTGGTGTTGTCTCTGGATTGTTTACTGAATGAGATATTTTCCAGTTCGCTCACGTTGTACAGATTTTCATATGACATTTTTATCCACTCAATTTCTTTTTTTGTGGAATACGTTGAGTATCATGCAAAATTACAGTGCATAAAACAGATGATTTCCGATTGTATATATATACCCTTCGAAGTTTTACGACCAGTGTAAGCAGCTGTATACTGTCATAAATTTCTCGCTGCTGTTGTTTAAGTACTCAGATTCGGTGTAGTCAGAACGTGTTTAACATGCAGTAGCTGTTTCTGCTATTCTTATGAGGCGTGACCATTGGAACGGAAAGATCTGAAGACACTAGTTGTGTATAAGCACAGAGTTCGGTGGTGTATCTATCATGTTAAGTGGTATATAAAATGTTTGGTAAGAGCAAAAAGACAATTAAGACGGCTGAACCATCGCCAACCTCAACGAGCAATGATATCTGACATAGGATTAGATTGAAAAAGAGTTAAGAGTGGTGAAACTAAATCATATCCCCAGTCCATGAAGTCTTTGACTTTTGGTTTGAGCCAGCCATGTTGGTGGGGGGGGGGAGAGTGTAAACTATCTGACTGGGATTCTCGAGATGCAAGAATCCAATGGACTGGGAAATTCGTAACATGTTCAAAATGTTACTTATAGTCTGTACATCTGTACAGAGTTCTATACTGTGAAGGTTGTTGATACTATTGAGTTGAGTAGGACTCGAACCTGCAAACAATTGGCTTTAAGTTGGATTTATTAGAATGTAGGCCACATATTCAATTAACTAATACCTCCCCATACTTTTCATCTGAACTTACAAATAATCTAGAACACAATAAATTAACTTTCAAGGATCCTTGGTTTTACAAAAATCTTTAAACGCTTAACCTTAATTTAGTAACACATCTGTTTGTGTAAAATTTCAGTGTACTTATTCTATTTATGGCAAGCAATCCCTGATATGCATATAAGATTCACAAATCCACAGACAATAATCAAATATAGCGTAGTTATTTAAGCACATTTTGTGACATACACTTATTAGTCCCTAGGGCTTAAGTGTATTGCCTGACGGTGCTAGTTCGATTCCCCTAGAGCGGAATTAATTCCATCAAGGTTGTAGATAAGCTTTACTGATTAATACCAATATGCACGAAATAATAGTTATGGGATACTGTCGCCTTTTGTCACTCCCTAAACCTTCTGATTTGCTTGAATGAAAGTTGAAACATCAACTGGCCACTGGTAAATAGCTAATGTTATGTATCTAGTGCTCAGTGAGTTCCACCAAACTGGATGACTCTTCATTACGGTGCACTTTAATTGATGTTTTGTTTCTGCAGACAGTCGACAGGAAGCTGTTAGCCTCTTCACTAGAGCGTATTTACACCCCCAGAATATGCGAATTCGGCATCACCCTATGCTTTAACTAGACAGGTTTTGCTTACGAATGTCGGTTAGCATGAAACCTAGTTTGCGTTCCTCTCGTCAACTGCTTTTAACCCCTTAGTTATGAATAAATTGTTAAAACTGATACAAATTAATAAAAAATCAATTGACTAGAGGTTACCTTGTAAATTCAGTCTATAATCTTTGCCTTCGATTGCTGCATTTTCATCCATGTTATACAGCTGTGTGAAAAAATTGCTCAATTCATTATTTACTTTGCTAGAAAAGTAAAAAAAGTGATTGAAATTTGTAATTAATAAATATTCACGTTAAGTTAATTAAATTAATTTTACAGATACATATATAAAGTTTATGAGTAGCGATCACTTTTTAAAGTGTTAATCTATTACATAAGTTGATAATATCCCGTATTACTCCGCTATTACAAGGCTATCTAAAATAGTTCGCCAAGAGGCAACTAACTACCTGACTTATCGTTGTTCTAGTCCACTGTGATTAGAATTGTGATGAGAAGACATAGCTAGCTATTTAGGCGGCTGGTGTAATGATGTCAAATAGACAATTGCGCAACAACCACTCTTGTTGACATCAGCCATAACCCATATTATACTCAGTGTTATGATGAACTGATCAACTGTTGGCTCCAGAAATCGACCATCATTCAGTCAACAGCACTTCTGATGGCATCAATTTACAGGAGAAAGGACTCAGAGAACGAAATTCAGTTTTTAGGTGTGTTGATCCCATGAACAAGCACAGGAAAATTAGGAACTCAAGTATACAGAAAGGCATCTGGTACAGGTCAATATTTACTTATAATAATAGCAACCCTAAAGCACAAAATAATTTGTATAAGGATATCACTCAAGGAGTCGGGATACAGCACCCTTCAGCTTTTAGCTGCCTAGAGAAGGAACATCTTACAAACACCTTCCAGAAAAGGGATGTTCCTAAATTCCATATAATTTGTTTATTAGATATATCACACAGTGGAGAGACGGTATTATTTACTGGATGACGTTTCGAACAAAATGTATTGTTGATAATCATTTCATCAATTATAATCACATGACTTCGAAACTTGAGTTTTATAGTTTCCTTTGTCCTCTCCTATTTGTCGTCGTAGGGGTGGGAGAATTTTCCAGATGTCCGGGTGGATGGGTGTTGAGTCATTTCTATTACACGTGCTTTCAGCTGATTCCATGAATAAAACTTCCGTTATCAGTCTCTCCCTCCACCCTGTTATACTGAATTGTAAAACTGTCATCTTACTCTAACCGACAAAGCTTCTTTCTAATTGAGTTTGTGGGCTGTTAGAATGCCACTTTTATTCCATATTAGGATTCTTAACAATGCAGGAATAGAAGTGGCATTCAAACCACTCACAAACTCAATTAGAAACAAGCTTTGTCGGTTAAAGGATTCTGCGGAGCCAACAAAATAGAACAATTTAGTTTATCTAGTACCCTGCAATGAGTATCAGGTCAAGTACATAGGTTAAAGTAGTAGAACAGGGGCAGTCGGACTAGCCGAGCATAAAACCCTGGCGAAATCTAGATTAGGTGACCCAAATAAGGTAAGAAATCTAGAGAATATTTCAGCTAAGGCTCTATATACTAATACATACAACCATACAATAGGATGGGATAAGATGACAGTTTTAAAATCTAATGTCACAGGGTATAGGGAGAGATTGATAACAGAAGCTTTTTTCATCGAATCAACTGCAAATACATGTAATAGGAATGATTCAACACCTCTCCACCCAGATATCTGGAAAATTCTACCACTGAAACGACGACAAATAGGAGAGGACAAAGAAAACTATAAAACTAAGATTTCGAAGTCGTGTGATTATAATTGATGATATGATTATGAACAGTAAATTTTGTTCGAGACGTCATGCAGTAAATAATAATACTGTTTCACTCTGTGATACATCTAATAGAAAAACTAATATGGAATTACTTATTACCATAGTAACCAAGTTTTACACATATATTAGAATGTTCATAAAACTTAATGAAAGATAACTAGCTACAATTCAGCATACTAACACAGTACTGTCTAATGACAGCACGAAGAAGAGTGTCAAACTACTTATGAAGAAAAACTCTGGAATCCTTGCAAGACTGTTGAAATCTTTCGGAACAGATGTAGCCTATAAACTATGTCAACCAAAATACACAACAGTGAAAGAAACAAAACCAACAGCATCCACAAGATAAATTACAGCAGTTGTGGAAAACATTCTATTGGTCAAAGTGAATGTCTGCTTTATCTGCACATCCAGGAATATAAACTGTAGACACTGATTCGACTGGAAAGATGTACATATCTTAGACAAGCGAAAACCAAGAATGTGAACTCATTCCTAAGAGACTGGTACTTAAATAAGTCTGCATCTAACAGACTGGCTGACATAGATCTGATTTACCAAACAACAAACGAAAAACTCATGTGGACGAAAGGTCAAATATCAGGCCAGCAAAATAATCAGTAAGTAGCAAGATGAATGAAAAAGGAGAGTACAGATACCCTCGGACACAACTAGCCATGTTCTAGATCACTAGAATAGATGGGTAATACACTCATGGAGAATTCTTAACCCCTACTTCATGGTAAGATTTGCGGTAAAGACGTTGTTCAGAAATACGACAAAAGTCCTACAATTAAATCATGCAGCTCGAGCAATATAAATTGGCTGTATAATAATAATAATTAATGTCAGATGGAAGCTGTTTAATCATTTTCCTGAAGAATTCAGTAATAACACCTCTTAAACACCTCAAGAGATGCTGTGGACGTGAAGTTTTATTATCTAGTGAAAAGGTTATGCTTCAAAGTATGCTAATTTGAACAGATTTTGAGTGTTAGAGATGTTCAATGTTACCTATTGATAGTGATATTGAATCATTTAACGTAGTTTATAGTTGCTTTATATAATAAATTGTCATTCCATTTAATTTTGACATGTTTTAAACTGATCAGTAATTATTAAAGTTATTTACGATTTATTTTGGTCTGTACAAAGTGATCACAAGGAGGGAATATCTACGATTTTGTGAACATGTACCCAAAAGCTTATGTCTAAAGGGAACAAATGCTTTAAACAGTGCCATCGCTAGGTATCTCCTTGACACGGGTCATGAAGTGGACGTCGAAAAGTCGTTCAAAATTATCAATAGGCAAAAGAGCTCAATTCTCCTCAAGTTTGCTGAAACCATTTCCATCAATCGCCTGAAACTTGATTTCTGCGTCCAGAAAGAAGTGGTTATCAGTCATTCTTTACCCTGGTTACTGGATATTTTCATCTCTCATTCATCTGAATGCGTAATGCTGGAAAGTTTCCATTGTGTATGATTATTATTGTTCGGAATAGTGTGTAATATTATATATATATATATATATATATATATATATATATATATATATATAATTACTGTATGCATATATTGATGGATTGATTTTTGTTTAAAATGAACTCTGTGCAAGTAAGTTAAAACTGTTTCTGTAGATATATTTAATAATGACTGTGGCCTGTAACCAGCTGACGAAAAGGCAACTAAATAAAAGATGGTACCACTTTCTCCTACAAAAACTGCAGTTCTTGCTTTGTTCAAATTCCTTAATGGGAATAAATGTATGAAAGATCACAATTTTATTAGACAGTCATCACAAATTCAGTTGTTGAGACTGTCTGAAATGTTTATAATTGGTAATTATAATTCCCCATCGACTTTTTACTGGATTAAGTTAAGATACGTCTTCTGGCATACTGGGTGAGGATGTATATTGAAGAAGTCTGGAAATTTGATCAGGAAGATAGAATAAAGTCAGTAAAAACAACAGATGATGTGTCTGTTGGTTCTCAGTGTTACGAAATTCCTTGTTATTTTGAGCACCCGCATTAAGATTCACTAATACTGATACACACTTACACATCTAAGTGATTAGGTGATAACAAGAGGAAAGATATTCGACTAGAAATAAAGTTGAACAAGTGAATCAAAGTCATTATGATTATATGAAATATTCAAGTGACTTAGTAAAGTGTTAGATGGTTGGAAGCTGTTTGCTGACCTATTCAGGTCAAAGATTGACCGACCTCCTGTAGGACTGTAATGGATACATTGAATGGTCGCTAGGAAGTAACCAATTCCTAAGCGTTGGTGTGAAGTTCTGCACACGTACTGACTCAGTTAAAACGGACGTGAATTTAACATTTTGAGACATTAACAGAATAAAACAGATCCTTTTTTATCCGCCTGAATATGCTGTTGCTGTTGTTATTACTATTATAGGTTTCCAGACCGTAGGTGTTACGAACTTCCTGGAATAATTTGAGCGCCGAGACAATCAAGAAAGTTTAGAGTTTCCTCAGCCGGTTCTATTTCGTTAGTAAACTCAAAATATTCTGAGATTAAGTTAATTTCTGTTAGAAAGTTTTCCTTTTCAGCTTTCTTTATGACAATAAATGTGTCATCTGCATATCTGTACCATATTCTAGGATGACAGCTAAGACTTGTCAATGCTTTCTTTTCTAGGGCTTTCATATATAGGTTTGCTGGAGATGCTGGTGAACCCATTGGAACTCCATTTGTTTGACAGTATATCGACGATAGCCATTCCATATCGAAAGGACACAGCTGAACAACTTCAAAGACTATTTGCTTCATATAATATCAAAGTCTGTGTCAAACCTTCTAATTCTCTAGAGAAAGCGCTGGTGCATGTCATAGATATAGTTTTCAAAAAGTCACAAAGTAATTGCGTCTACAGGATAAAGTGTTCAGAATGTGAGGCATGCTATATAGGGGAGAGCAGTAGGCAGGTGAAAGTCAGAGTGAATGAACATAGACTTTGCACGAAACGTCCACCTAGAAATGAAGTCGAATTAAAAAGTCTAGAAAAAAGATCGGCTATAGCAATACATGCGATAGACAGCGGACATAAGATTGATTTTGACAATGTCGAAATTCTTGGAAGAGGATTTCATTCACATAAAGAAAGATTGACTTCTGAAGCCTTGTACATTTTAACCACATCAAATGCAGTGAATAGCAAAGAAGGGATACACTTATCACCTATTTGGCAAACTCTTATGAAGCAAGACAGATGAAAAAACAACAAACACTATGAGCCTCCATGGCCTTTTAAAACATGTAGTATCATGTTTATCACCTATGAATTCACATATTTTCCATATGACAAATAACATACAGATACACACACGCATACAAATTTAACTTTACAAATCAACTGTAGAAGAGTAAACACAACAACAATTTGACATTAGTCATTACAAATATATGTGAGGACTGCTTACCTATTTCTATTGGTAAAAAATGTCCATGGACAAATGACCTTCAAATAAACTGACTTCATTTTATGTAAAAATTTTTGACTATATATTTTGATGATTAATAAAAATCCGAATAAATCTGCTGAAGAAGCTGTGGCTTACGCGGCGGAGGTTCAGAAAAATCTTGTTTTGATTTTCTTAACGCGCTGGGATTAATTTAAATAATTTATAATGTTGTTATTACTGTTCTGTCTAAATTCAGCATAGGGGAATTCGTTAACCAAAAATATTTCCAAGTATTTTGCTATGTATCATGATGAGGAGGTTAAATAAAGATAATCAGCTCATTAAGTGCCAATTCTAAATGAGTGTATATATATATATAAGGGACCTTAAAACATAACTCGGATTCGTGGAATGTTTTCGTCTCGATGTCTCAAAAACCCGTAAATATACAAGGGCAAATCGACAAGTTAGGTAAACAGGCGAGCGGTGAATACATAGGTGACGACAGCTAAAAATCCCCATCAATCAATGAAATATAAACGAAGTCATCTCCTCCACTTTTCAGAACTGGACAGCATCATCTCGGTTACAGGTCATCACATGGATGAAGATTTCAAACCTAGTTAGAATTAGGCAAACAAGAGAGGTAGGTGTTCATTAATCCAAAATCAGTGTGGAATTCTACACCGCTTAGTGCAATGAAGAAGATCCGAATTCGTCATAGTATTAGCCTTACCAAACGTATTTACAACAGAACACTGTAGACTCTTATCAGTACATACTAAAGATCAGATAACCGGCCAGAAAAGACAAGGACTACTTACATTGAATTAGCTGAAAACCTATTACAGAAGAAAAATATATACAGAAGGAAATGAAGCCGCTGCGAAGATATCAAGTGACATCAAATTCCATACAAACACCATAGTGAAAAGACAATGAGAAACGATTACTTCAGTATGGATCCATGTATAGTATGACAAAATCATGTGCAGAGAAATAAAAAGTTTTCAGATGACTGTGCAGTCTGCTGAAAGTGATAGCACAGAATCAAGATATCAAGCTGAAATTCTGTACTCCACATGGAACACAAAGAAAGAATGATTGAACATATATGTATATGTGCCTTATTGATATAATCACATCGAATTACTCACACAACTTTTCCTTCATTTATATACATGTATGGAATTGACTAGATATTTAAACAGAAACCAATATAAGATAATGTACATTCAGAAAAAATTATTATATCCTTTAATTCCTAGAGGAACATAGGGATTCAGCTGCGTGTCTCCATTGCCTTCGGTTTTCTGCCAACTTGTTCACCCCGCTCCAAGTCTGCCCACATGCTTTCATCTCCTCCTCCTCTTCACATGACCTCCTCCAAGTCATCCTTGCACTGACGACCAACTCGCCGCTTCCCTCTCGGGTTCCACTCGATCTATGGCTTGTCAAGTGATGTCACTTGATTGTTCCCTCGGAGTATAGCCAATCCGTCTCCATTTCTTCCTGCCTATTTGTTTGACAGTCGGTTCCTGCGGAGTTGGTTCGCTCATTGCCAGAGATCCCTGTTTCTGGTCCTTTCTGGCCGGCCATCTGATCTTGAGTATTGGGCGAAAACAACTGTTAATGAAGGTGTGTAGTTTGTTTGAGGTGCCCTTCGTGACGCGGCGCCAAGTCTCTGATCCGTATAGTGAGTAGCAGTGACTGACTTGACATTCGAGTTGAAAATCCGGATCTTATTTTTGAGGCTGGGTGAATGCTGTTGATCTCCACACAGACTTAAGAGTAATGAAAGCTTGTCTTGCTTTCCCGATCCTCGCCGCGTTTATATCCTCATCAGTTCTGCTTGTAGTTGAAACGATGTTTCCCAGGTAGATAAACGAGATTGTTTCTTTCAGGTTCCTCCCATTTATGCTGATTGCTGTCTGTTGTTGTTGTTGTGGCTGTTACTGATAGCCAGGAATCTTCATCACATCTGTCTTCTCTGTGTTCACCTGTAGCCCTATCTTTGATGCTTCTTCCGCCAGCTTGTTGCTTTTCACTTGCATATCTTCCAGCTTGTGGGAAATCAGATATATATCATCGGTGAAGTCCTGATCCTCCAAGATTTTCGTGTGAGTCCATTTTATGCCTGTTTCCTCACTGACTGAGCCGTTGTCTGTCGCATTATCCAATCTACTGCAATCAAGAAAATCATTGGTGATAGTAGACAGTCTTGCCCCACTCCCGTCCTCACTTCGAAGGCTTCTGTATGTTTCCCGTTGTGGATTACTTGGCATGCAGCATTGTCGTATAACTGTTGGATGAGATGTATAATTGTCGAAATAATAATAGGAGTGTTATTGATCAATTACAATAATAAGTAACTTGTTAGAATGTTGTGATGTGCTTGAATTGAAGTAGAATAGAATAAATAATCTCAAAATTCTATTTATAATGGAGTATATGTACCTTAAGTTGATTAAACCTTCTTGTTTGCATTTTTAATCAAAAAATATCACCTCTTATAGCATTTTGTCTTTCATTAAAGGGATGTGTACTTACTTAGGACTCTGTCTTCTTCTGAAAAGATATTATTATGATTTTATGAAATTTATTAATCGATTAAGACGACAGGCTACAAAAATAACTGTACACAACTTAAGAAAATCAATTATACATGAGCTACCATAGAATTACAAAGTATTAAGTTCATAATTCTCAAGTATCCAGATGGGTATAAAAGAAAATTTCAAGAGCTGATTTGTAAGGATTAGATTTGTTTTTTAATGTTTTACCATGGAATGGGTATTGGACAGCTGTTTCACCTAGTTTAAGAACCATCGGCACTACGCACCCACTGACCACAGTTCGAACCTAGGACCTTCCAGTTACAAAGCTAGCTAGCTTGTATACCATTCAGCCACTGGCATCCTTACAAATCAACACTAGCAAATTATTCTGATACTCTGTAGTGACTTGCTACAGGACGGAGTTTCCTAGAATTCTACTGAAAAGTCGTGACCAGTGAGGTTTATCCAGTCGGGAGTGAAGATGGATTTTCCATCGATGATATTGTTTGGTGGTTGCACTAAATGAATAACGAATTGGTAGATGTTAGAATTGATGGGCTAGCCATTGAATCGAGCCTCACTGGCTGGATTGTATAAAAGAAATATTGATTTTTTTTGGATTGATTTACATATAGGTGACTTGTTATTATAGTGAGTAAAATTTGATTAATCAGAAGGTAGTAAGAATTAGTAGTTCTTTGGATTTCCACTCATTTGTAAAGGGTTAGCTAGGTAGAGCACCTAGGTGACCGATAATTCAACCTATTATTGATTTATGTATGAATCATTTAGTGTTTGCTACTTGACCTAAATTTTTATTTTTAAGCCTGTCTATGTGTTCTTGTTATTGATCGAAATTCGTTTAGAAAATTTATTCAACGCTGCCGGTAAATGAAATCAATATGACGATTTGTAATTTATAAACAGTTCCAGTAGATGAAACTTCCTTGTGGTTTCCCTTGGGTGGGAACCAATATTATTCAGATCACTGTAGATGTGATTTGCTTGATACTACACAAATGAAAAATGAGATAGCAAGCATAAATGTAGAATGTTGCCTATATACTACTAAATGATTAACGTGAATAGTTGGGTTCCCTTGTCACACCAACCAGTAGTGTTTGTCAGTCAGCCAGATAGAAATGATCTAAACACCAGAAAGTTCGTCGATGGCATAGTGATAAAATGCCTGCCAACTAATCAGGTGATTCGGGTTTAAATCCCCCGGGCCGATGCAGTCGCTAAGCCAATAATAAGACCGGCAAAGAGGGAAGGCAGGGCATGAGGCCAGAAACTCCATTTCTGTAAAAATAAACATTACAACTACCAAAACTTCCAGCCTCCATCTTGAAGCTCTGGGTTCCACTGGAAACGTAAAGGAATAAAAATAAATAATAAATAATGCCAAACATCAGAGAGTCGTCTCCCTAGCTTGGTATTGTGCTGAACAGATCGCATTCATTATGAGCTGAGTAGTTTTGGTTTCCGTAGGAAACTATGGTAGATTTTCACTCCGTACTGTATAAATTGCTAATTATGAATTTGACTTAAAGTACAACCATTTAACTGAAGTAGTTTGTCAGAATTCGGGTGGTTTGAACGAATTCGGTTATCTGAAATGAGTCACACAAAGTACACCGCTCATGACTTCAGCCCAAAATGAGCGAAACGGCCCACCGATGTCTAGATCACTTCGATAATCTGGCTAGCAAGCACTGGTGTTAATATGAGTAGTACCAAACTACTGATTCTGATCAGTCAGTAGTATATGGCGTCAATAAACTATGTGAGATGATACCAATGTATGCTGCAGTTAATATTTTCCTCTTATATAAAGGAAAATGTCTTCCAGTATTATTTGAGATTCTGTCAACATTCACCGAAAAGAATATTTCTGAAATTTGATCAGTCAGACGCAAATGATATAATCATTTGCAAAGAATATCTATTATATCAAGAAAGGCAAGAGGGTTAATGTGCCGAAAAACTTCAGCAACCTTTAAATATCTTTAGTTCATTTCTTGTAATTTGAACTTCTTCAAAATAGCTTCATGCAACAAGAAGAAAACAATAAGAAGACGTAACTTGTCTGAAGCGTCTTCTAACGTAGATGCCCAACATATTTCGAACAATCTGTTCACACACACGGATTTGTCATTGAAATATATATGAAATTAGTAAAGAGCTAAAAGGTGAGAAAATAAATTTAAGTCAAGTTGAAAGGATACATTGAAGGTCAAAATAACAACAAAGATCAATAACCAAGGATTATTGGACAGCTGTTTTATCCTAGTTTGGGATCATGGGCAGAAAGCACCCACTTGGGTTCGAACTCAGTTTCCTGGAGTTCTAGTGAGAAGACGTGACCAGTAAGGTCCAACCAGTCAAGTGTGAGGATGGATGTTCCACCAATGACATTGGTTCATGGTTGCACTAAATGCATCACGAATTGGTAGAAGTTAGAGTCCATGGGATGGCCATTGAGTCGGATCCCAGTAGCTGAATGGTATACGAGCTAGCTAGCTAGCCTTGTGTATAGAAATCTCTGGGTTCGAACACTGGCAGTGGATGCGTAGTGCCGATGATTCTCAAACTAGGATGAAACAACTGTCCAATACTCCCTGGTTTTCAATGGTTCTCTAACTGATATCAGTCTGTGTGGTCAAACTCGTATAAACAAATCTAATCCTTACAAATCAATAAACCAAATAGGAGGCGAAATAGTAAATTTACCATGGTTTCAAAACAAAAATTACCGAGAAGGTTTTATCGTGATAACGAACTACTTCAGATGGACGCGTATAAGTGGTTCAAACTTTCCAATTGCTGGGACTTCCTCAAACTTTAGAATCCAACAAATATGCACTAAAGATACACTTGATGAGGAAGAATGAAAATTAGAACAAACTCTAGTTGATAGCAATTATCTAGACAAGTTCATCAGGAGATATAATGTAGTCAGAGCACTAAGACCTACTCTGCAACTTGCTCCTGAGAAAGACGTGTACATCAAGCTACCCTGTATGGAGCATCATAGCAGCTTGGTAACTCGAAAACGATTGACCGCCGTGGTTAAAAGGACCCTTTATGCAACTAAGATCAGAATAATTGAGAATATGAAGCTCATATATCCGTCTAAGCCCTCAAAGCATACCAAAAATGATATTGCATCCCACCTTATTTACCAATTTGAATGTACGTGTGGACATATATATATATATATATATATATATATATATATATATATATATATATATGGAGGACTTATCGATCTCTGCAAATAATGGCTGGCTTCACAGAATATTCCTAAATGTCTTCAGAAGCGAATAGAATCCCCAAAACCTATCATTGGTGAGAATACGTGACACAGCTCTCCTTCTGCGAAACATATTATAGAGGAAACAAGAAATAAAATTGATGTTTACACGTCTTTTAAACCTATCTATAGAACGTGTTTGGAATATATCCTACAGTTTCTGGAAGCCCTACCAATTAGGATGTTTAAACCACTTTTATGCGTTCATCATCACACTAAACAATCTTGTTTGGTAAACTTTAATTGATAATACCAGGATAGATGTACTGTTACTTCTCTTATTTGGTTTATTGATGAATTCTAACTTCTACCAATTCGTGATGCATTTAGCGCGACCAACAACCAATGTCATCGGTGGAACATCCATCCTCACACTTGACTGGTTGGACCTTACTGGTCACGACATCTCACTAGAACTCCAGGAAACTGAGTTCGAACCTGAGTGGATGCGTTCTGCCCATGATCCCAAACTAGGATAAAACAGCTGTCCAATAATCCTTGGTTATTGATCTTTGTTGTTATTTTGACCTTCAATGTATCCTTTCAACTTGACTTAAATTTATTTTCTCACCTTTTAGCTCTTTACTAATTTCATATATATTTCAATGACAAATCCGTGTGTGTGAACAGATTGTTCGAAATATGTTGGGCATCTACGTTAGAAGACGCTTCAGATAAATTACGTCTTTTTAATACTTTGTCCTCTTTGATTATATATTCATATGTGTAATGTATTTTGAATTGCGAAGTGGCGGCCTTTCTAAACCACTCGGCTACCAAAAATTTTCATCCAGCTTATTACATCGGCTTCTCATCGCATCTTATTGTTTTGACCTTGTAATTATGCCCATGGGTCGCAGTATAAATTTATGCAAATTTTAAATTGGCTCCCAGTCTACCATTTTGCCTAGAGGATTGAGTTTTTTTGCAGATGGAATGATGTCGTGTTATATGGGGAGTTAAAATTGTGTAGGGAATTACTTTGTGCATTCTGTATTGTGTTTAAAAATAATAATCACTAGAATACTTCATTACTCCTGGAACGAATCAATCAGCCTTACTTCCTAATCAGCGGTTTTCGCCGCCTAATGGTGATAAATCTATTTAATGAATTTTAAGATATTTATTCAAGGTCTTCATATATTGAACAGATTGAGACCAATTATTTCAGTTCGAAAATACCAATAGGAAATCGTTAGTTTGAATAAATAAATAAATAATATCAAATAATGACAAAATAAACATAGAAAGCGACTGTTACTGTTTCATAGCTTAGTGCTTAACGTTTGATATGGAAAGGTAAGCAGTGGGAATGACGTTGTTCATTGGGGAATTGGATATACATCCATGGGAAGTGTCAGATAGAAGGGGAAATTTACCCTCATTGTAAACTAACTCAAAGCAAATAATTGTCTCAAATTCCTTCGAATACACAATCCGAATATCGATATTTTGCTGATTAGAGGCTAAAAGAAGGATGAACGATCTGGATTGGTGGCTAATGCGATCCATCAAATCACATTTGATTGAGATGCTCACTGATAGCAATAATTGGCAGTGGAAATTGATCGCGAATTTAAGAATTCACGAGTTAATGCATCCCGACAGAGTAGTTCAATCATAAGTTGACTTGATGTGTAACCTACAGGTGCTTGGTTCGATCCCTCTTAATGTCATGAGAATGCACTAAGAGGAATGAAGTGGTTAGTGATCTTGGGGTTTTCAATGATTTTCTAGGTTGATATTGGCTCATGACAAGATCTATACTGAAAAGGTTGAGGTTTCGATAGCACTGGTGTTTATTTTTATAGGATGGGGTTGCTAGTCTCATGCCCAACCTTCCCTCTTTACTAGTATTATTACTGGCTTAGTGAGGTAAAGAAGTGCATCGGCCGATGATCGTACCTCGAAACACATACGTGGTTGGCGAGCATTCTACCGCTGTGCCAACAACGCACAAAAGCCCGCAACACTAGGTATTCCCAGCCGGTCATTCATGCAAGTACTAACCGGACCCAACGTTTCTTAACTTAGGTGATCAAACGAGAACTTGGTATGGTCGCCGACGAAACCTGCATTGCTCACAATAATTATTAGAAGAATTCAATAAAAGTAAGATTAACGTAAAATGAAAAAAAAATCGATTTTTTTTACTAATAATGAAATACTTACGAGCATGAAACAATCTGAAAGATGGTTAACACAAGGAAAAGATACTCTATGCCGATGCGATAAATGCTCATTACAGTGGTAATAATGAAATCTCCTGTACTTTTACACGCAAAAGCAATTAAACATGTCTATATATAGATATAGGTGTGTGTTTGTGCGTGCGTGTGTATTAGTCCACGCATATATGCGCTTTAATTATAATCGCACACTTCCGGAACTACAAAATCAATTATACCAATAGAAATTTCACTGTAAATCAACGCATATATTTGTGTGTGTTTAGACACGAGTGCTTAGTTAATCGTATGCATCAGCCATAAAGGGCACTAGATTATGACACTGTTAATAATAATATTAATTATAATAATAGAAATAATAATCAACCAATTATTGTCAACAACAATGAAAAATTCATCCAGGAAACTAAAAATGTGCAAATGTATACTGTTTGAGTTGTTGGTTGGACAATTAGCTGAACAGTATTATGAACACTATAGTGACTTGAAGGGTTGTTTTGCACGGTTTTGGTTGGTTAAAGGTTTAATCACGATATAACGTCAGTAGAAGAATCATTGGAAAGCCAAAGAGTACTGGACAGCTGCTTCGTCCGGGTTTGGGACTCTTCAGCAATGTGCACCGTCTGGGATTTGAACTAAGGACCGTATCGGTGGAAAGGCGAGCTTTTAGCCTATTTGGCCTGGCTTTCCAATGGTTCTGCAACTGATGTCAGCCCTGATCGAACCTGTAATCAGTCAATTCACTGAAATTCAATAGTCGAAAATTACTCTGCTGCCCATTAGCGGCTGACTCTAGAGACGAAGTTGCGCGAAGTTCTAGTGACGAGTCATGACCAGCGAGGTTCACCAAGCCTCCAAAGCCTCAGGATGGTCGGGGGTGGGTGCCTTGCGCTGCGGGTTGGCCACCCCTCCGCACACCTCTTGAAATGCTCCCATATGACCGGGCGTCTTACATAGCCTCTCCTGAGGAAGTCCTACTCACTGCCTTCACGTGGCGGAGGTGTTTCTCACCAAAGTGAGAGGGCGAAAGCGGATGCCCGGCGCTCTCCACCGGGTTGACTGTCCATTGGATGACGGTCTAGGGGAGATGGCTAAACCCTGATTCCAAACCTCCAACGACTGGCGTATGAAGCTCACTGGAGCTCACCGGCAGACGTATGGACAAAGGGCTTGTTGGATGTCCTGGATGTCTGGCCCCATTCAAAAAGGCGTATGAACCGAACTCCGGTCACCGGCTGCCAATGGATAGTGGACTTCTTACTCCACTCCTACTGCCTTGTAGGTCACACTTGGCTGTGTGAAGGCTAGAGCTGCACTCTCAAACAAAAGGCCGAGCGATGCTGGGGACATCACTCGTACCAAATTCCCATGAAACTTCATGAACTCTCTTACAAATTGCCGCGCCTGGGCAGCGATGATTCGAGACGTTCATGAAGCCGGCTCATCCTCCCGTAGGAGATAGCCGAAGTAAAGTAAGTAAGTAAGGTTCACCAAGTCAGGCAAAAAAGACAGTTATTTGCTTATGACATCTATCGCTAATTGACAGAAGTTGGAACTTATTGGCTACTCGATCGGGTTCTAGTGGATGAAATCTATACGAACTGGCCTAGTAACCGGAAGGTGCTTAGTCTGAACCCCGATGGGTGCGTTATGCTCTAGGGTCTTAAAAGAAGGCGAAACAGCTGTCCAGTACTCCTTTGTTCCTCAGTGGTTCTCTAACTGATGTCAGCTCATGATATTCAGTTGGAAACGACTGGTTTCATGGTACTAGCATTAATAATAATAATAATAACAAGGACGAGAAGAAGGTTAACAACACTAACAGTAGGGAATTTGACACGTCAGTAGTACTTCCATACAAAGGGGAAACCTTTGAAATTTTACTTAGAATTCTTAACAAAACTGGGAAAAACGTGGCATCAAAACCTACAAACTCACTAAAAACAGACTATCTGAGTTAGAGACTTGATTCTGTGGGGATATGTTAAACAAAATAATCTGGTTTATCTAATACTCTGTGGTTTACGAGGTCAAACGTGTAGGTTAAAATAGTAGAACGAAGTTGCTCAGACTAGCGGGACACGATTAACTAACAAAGCCTTGATTATTTGGCCCTAATAAGGTAAGAAATCTGGAAAATAGCTCAGCGGTGGCACTACATGCACTAAAACACAACTGAACAATAGGATGAGGTACGATGGTAGTTTTGAAATCTGATTTAACATGGTGGAGAGACAAACTGATAACTGGAGTGTTATTTATCGTTTGAAGTTGGAATTTATGAACCATTGGGTTGAATCTTAGTGGCTGAAATCTCTTCGAACTCGCCTTGTAACCGGAAGACCCTGAGCACGAACCCGGAGAGTGAGTACTGTTGAAGAGTTTCAGCTGTCTTACAGTACTTCCAGGTTTTCCAATGGTTCCCTAGATGATGTCAGCCTATGAACAATCCTGAAGTATTATTTATCGAACTGACTAAGAATATATGAAACTGGAATGGTCATACACCAATCCCAGACATCTTGAAGATATTATTAGACTTGAGACAAATAAGAGGGCAGGAACACAAATATACAACATAACATTTGGTTTTGCGTAGTTATAACTGGAGATATGAGTGTGAAAAATATACTTTGTTCTCAGCTGAGTCATCCAGGAAAACATAACTGCTTAACTGTGCAGTAAATCCAATAAACTAATCAATACAGAATTACATCCTGCCGCAAGACCCTATTTTTACACACATAATAATTTGACAGGTTTCATGAAGTCAGTATACAACGAAAGAAACCTTTTGACTCGATCAAATTCTACGATCCATGAAGCCTAACCATCTATAAATTTTTCTTGGAATCGATGTCAACTGGATAACAAAAACAGCTCCTATTGATGAGTGTATGTTAAGTACTAATTCTTTTTCAGATACTCAGACCCGTGTTATATCACTGTCTATACTACTCATAAGTAGATTGACTGTTTTGGTTTTCTTCGATGATCTTACTGTCTCTTTAGTAAAAATTTTGTTGTTTCCAGATAGTGTGTAAATGACCTCTTCCCCGCTTTCATGAAAATCAGTCTTAAATTAACTTGTAATTTAACCTATGGTTATACTTGATTACTGGAGAGATCCACTGAGAGAGAAACGATGGTCATATATGCAGTCCTAAAAACATAACGAATAATAATAATAATAGAAAGGAATCATTCCCCTATTCTTCTATTGCTTATCAGTAGTGTTCCATAGAAGTGGGATTCTGGAATTGTGACAGATTCGCAATTATGCTTGTTACAGTGTGACCAAATGAAGTGGTGACAATCTGATCATTTCGGAGAACAACAAGTTCACAGATTTTGTCTGTCGAACATTGTTATTATTTCCTTCAATTCCTAGAGGAACATAGGGATTCAGCTGCGTGTCTCCACTGCCTTCGGTTTTCTGCCAACTTGTTCACCCCGCTCCAAGTCTGCCCACATGCTTTCATCTCCTTCTCACCCTTGCACTGACCACCAACTCGCCACTTCCCTTTCGGGTTCCACTCGAGCAATGGCTTGTCAAGTGATGTCACTTGATTGTTCCCTCGGAGTATAGCCAATCCGTCTCCATTTCTTCCTGCCTATTTATTGCACAATCGGTTCCTGCTGAGTTGGTTCGCTCATTGCCAGAGATCCCTGTTTCTGATCTTTTCTGGCCGGCCATCTGATCTTGAGTATTGGGCGAAAACAACTGTTAATGAAGGTGTGTAGTTTGTTTGAGGTGCCCTTCGTGACGCGGCGCCAAGTCTCTGATCCGTATAGTGAGTAGCGGTGACTGACTTGACATTTGAGTTGAAAATCCGGATCTTATTTTTGAGGCTGAGTGAATGCTGTTGACCTCCACACAGACTTAAGAGTAATGAAAGCTCGTCTTGCTTTGATATCCTCGTCAGTTTCGTCCGTCTGTAGTTGAAATGATGCTTCCTAGGCAGGTAGGTAGGTAAAGGAGGTTGTTACTTTCAGGTTCCACCCATTTATGCTGGTTGCTGTCTGTTGTTGTTGTTGTGGCTGTAACTGTTAGCCAGGAATCTTAATCACCTCTATTTTATCTATGCTCACCTGAAGCCTTATCTTCGGATGCTTCTTCCGCCAGCTTGTTGCTTTTCACTTGCATATCTTCCAGCTTGTGGGAAATCAGATATATATCATCGGTGAAGTCCTGATCCTCCAAGATTTTTGTGTGAGTCCATTTTATGCCTGTTTCCTCGCTGTCTGAGCCGTTGTCTGCCGCATTATCCAATCTACTGCAATCAGGAAAATCATTGTCGATAGTAGACAGCCTTACCTCACTCCCGTCCTCATTTCGAAGGCTTCCGTAAGTTTCCCGTTGTGGATTACTTGGCATGCAGCATTGTCGTATAACTGTTGGATGAGATGTATAATTGTTGGCAGTACCCCGTAGTAGCGAAGTAGTTGACAAATCGCATCTCAGTCGACGCTGAACTAACGAAGGCCCTTTCAAAGCCGATGAATTTGAGATAGAGAGGTGAATGCCATTCCAAGCTTTGCCCAATGATGATCCGTAGTTCGGTGATTTGATCAATACATGACTTGTTTCTCCTGAATGCAGCCTGTTACGGTCGGAGTTTTTCATCCATGTTGGCGTGTTTGATTCTCTTCAGGATAACGAGGTTTAGTATTTTATCTTGGGATGGACAGGAGCATAATTCCACGCCAGGTTTTGCATTGACTTAAGTCTCCTTTCTTCAGTAGTTTGAATAAGTTTCCTTTCTTCTAATCCTCGGGTACTTTTCCCTCTTTTCAAACTTTCTCCAGCAGTGGCATCATCAAGTCCGCTGTTGTCTCTTGGTCCATTTTCAATGCTTCTGAAGCGAACATATATAATTATATGCCATGATATTCGTCTTTTATTAGGTCGATTGTCATTTCGTCATGAAAAAATATTTGAATGAGGCATCAACAACAGTTAGGGCAGAATAAGATAGCACCACTAACTATTTCAAAAACTTGTCTGCAGCACACAGCCCAAAGAATTTTCTAAGCTTTTGCACAGAATAGTT